AGGCGGTGCCCAGGAGGCAGTGCTCGGGACTCATGCTCTGCCCACCACTTCCTCACGAATTTCATTCTTTCCCCGCCATCATCGCAGGGTTTCATCTGCACTGGGGGCGGGTGCATGGCACATTGTTTTGTTGGGTTCTCTTTATCTATTGTTATGAGTTAAATGAAGATTTAATCAAATTTTAGGCCACATTTATGTAGAAATTCACATAACACTAAAGGGTTCACAACTTTCAAGCAGCACTGTGTATTAACTGTCCTAGACACTTAATAAATAACTGTAAAATATCCATGGTTCTAAATAATGAAAATACCAAAATTGATCAATGATGTTGCCCTGATTTATCAATTTTTTAAAAAATCCTTATCTTTCCCACCTTGAACCTGAATCTCCTGTGGCCCATAAACATATTGATTTACATGCTCAAGGAAATGCTTCTGACTGTGGTTTGAAAACTCCATGGAAAGAAACTAACTTTTTCCTTCTCCAGAACTTCTTCCTTACAGCTGTGTGCATGTTATAAACAACCACTCAGCAGCATGTTGGAAAGCTGCTCACGTCAACTCAAAAATTTGGAATTTGTCACATCACCAAATTATAACTACCAGTGGTCATAGCCAGTCTTGACCTCCCTAGGGTCCCAAGAAAAATTCTAGGGGCACTCCTACCTGACCCATGAGCCATGTAAACTTGCAATTGTCACATAGTCACACCTGACACCTCAGTGCTCCCACTACAATCCTCACTCCTTTGAAACTATAGGTGGACCTTTACAGAACAGAATGAGGTACGCACACATTTTTTAAACCACTTATCCTTCTGGGTCACAGGGGGTGCTGGAGCCTATCCCAGCAGTCATGGGGCAGAAGGCAGGATACACCCTGTACAGGTTGCCAGTCCATCGCAGGGCAGACACACAGACATATACACTTAAACCTAAGGGCAATTTTTCGTGTCCAACAGGCTGGACTGCATGTCTTTGGACTGTGGGAGGAAACCCACGCAGACACGGGGAGAACATGCAAACTGCACACAGAAAGGACCCTGGTCACCCGGCCGGGGAACTGAACCCAGGTCCTTCTTGCTACCCATTGCCACCGTGTCGCCCTGAATGAGGTATAAACAAACACTATATATTGAATAGAACATTTTCCACAGAATCTTGAAGAAACGTATATATTAAAATTAACATAAATACCGACAAAGCTAAGCGCAGCAACTGAAACATTATAGATGATACTATTGCTCATTTTATCAGCTGCATCAGGCCCATTCAAACTGGCTTCCCCAGATTTCCTTTCATACATTTTTTAAATCTAAAATTCTATTTGTACTATGGTTTGGCTGAATACTTGATGATTATTGTTTACTGAGAGATGTGCATCCATGTTGTCCAGTATGCCCAGCTAATCAACATTTTAAATTCAATATTTTATTAATAGTCAATGTAAATCCATTGCTTTACATTTTGCAGTAGCCCAGAATGGTAACTAAACCTTGACTGAGAGACTAGATAATCATTGTCTTGTTTTAAAATGATGTGTGCTTGTGAGGAGTGTGTCATCACACCTACATGTTGTCTGGACTGAACTAGTGTCCACAGAGGCTGCTGCTGCAAAGTGCAAGTTTGATGCATGTGAATATAAACACGTTTATGTGCGTCGCGGTTATCTTTGTTTTTGAGCTGCAGTTTGTAAACACCGCTGCCTGTTGGCGTTCACCAAACATAATAAATAGTTGTATTTCACTCTCACAGACTAGAGAGAGATGCACTGCCCAGCTAGCACGTCAACTTTTATTTGTTAAACGTTACTATTATTTGCTGACATCCAACTTGGAGAGAAGAGAAAACAAGTTTACCTGATTGCTGTTCCTGCAATTCACCCTAATGGTGTTTTTTTTCATGACCAGATGGAGAGTTTTGCTTCATCCTCTCATCAAAGCTTTATACAAATAGCAGCTTTGACATGAGGGGGAAGCAGGGCTCTTGCGTAATATGCAGGGCCTATACAATGCGTGTAGTGAGTGTATAGAGCTGATCAGCTTTGCCAGTAATTTATGTTACGATGCTGATGGGCAACTGGTATATTTATCACGTGAACCAAAAGTATGGACCATGCTACCTTGACCTTCTATATTGACTTGGTATCACAGAATGTACTAGCTGGTGAAATGACAAAAAATACTTGTAAAATCATCGTAAATGTTTTAGAACCTTAAGTAACACAGAACTTGTGTGACTTGTATTGACAACTATGGCATCCATTCAAGTGCAAATTCCTCAAAATCCACGAGTTTATGATGAGTAACTAAACACACAATTAATCTCTCATTTAAAGCCACTACTGTTACTAAGCCACTGTTTACTCTGAATGACCTTTCAGAGAACTCTTGGTTTGTAATGACCTGACAACCTGATTACTTCCGTTGTTTGCCTTCTTATTTCTATTACAAAAGAACAAGGTCAAATTTCCCAAGGACCATTCAGCTGCATATGCCGGTCAAGCTGAAGATCAATGCACCGAGACCACATCCTCCTTTTCAAACCTCCACCCCATGGTGCGATTCGCTGAAATGAACCATGTCATTTTGAAATGTCAGTAAATGCAAATGACATTTACATTTCTGGCATTTGGCAGACACTCTTATCCAGAGTGACTTACATAAGTGCTTTGTTGTCTATGTGGGAAACTTGCTTACGCGAGTGCAAACAGCCTAGACTCTAAGGATACCCTTTAAGCTAAGACACTGGCAGAAGCAGGAGTCAGTGCTGATACATAAAAACATGACTCTACATATTTTTGCAGAATCTGATACTACTCTCCAGCACGGACACTGGAAAACAAACACTCGGAATCTGTATCTCTAATAGAACTAAAGCTGAACATTCTCCTGCTCCACCGAATGCCAAACAAGCACAACCTGGTATGAACTTGAAGGCTGGATCGTCATGTTCAAAATGCAAGAAAGTCTTCTGCACATGAGTCTCTGAGCAAATTTTTGCAAAAGTTCTTCCTCTTGTCTAATGAACTAATGATTATTTTTCAAGTAGACTATTATTCCATCAATCAACTAATTAAACTATTACGCCTTTTACTGTTTCCTCTCACACTGTCCTTTTACAGCACTGCCATCATTAAAAGTTCCACCTGTGCAGCAAGCAAACAAAACATTAGGACACAGTATTGTCTTCCTGCACTTCCTGTAGTGTGCTGCAGTCTGCTGGGTGACAGTGCATCATATGAACATTACAGAGCATTACAGAGCACTTTCGTTAGTAAGTAAACAACCTTCATAACTGATGATGCTGATGACTAATTGACTTCGTTGACTGATCCTTAACTACTAAGTGATTTGTTAACTAAGTATTGACAACTAATTGACTTTGTTGACTAATCGTCTAAGACTAATCGACTCTGTTGACTAATTGTTGATGACTACTTGACTGCTGACAAATCGCTGACAACTATTTGACTTTGTTGGGTAATCACTGATGACTACTTTGTTGACTAATTGCTAATGACTATTTAACATTGACTATTAGTTCACAACTAATTGACTTTGTTGAGTAATCATTCATGACTAACTGACTTTGTTGACTAATTGCTAATGACTTAATGACTTTGTTGACTAATCTTTGATAACTAATTGACTTTGTTGACTGTTGATGACTATTTTACTTTGATGACTTATTGTTGATGACTAATTTATTTTGATGACTAACTGTTAATGACTATATGAATTTGCTGACTAATTGTTGATGGCTATTTGACTTATTTGACTAATTGTTGATGACTATTTGACTTAGCTGACTAATTGTTGATGACTTTTTGACTTATTTGACTAATTGTTGGTGACTATATGACTTAGCTGACTTATTGTTGATGACTATTTGACTTATTTGACTAATTGTTGGTGACTATATGACTTTGTTGACTAATCACTAACGACTATTTGACTTAGCTGACTAATTGTTTATGACTATATGATGTTGCTGACTAATTGTTGATGACTATTTGACTTAGGTGACTAATTGTTGATGACTTTGACTTAGCTGACTAAATGTTGATGACTATATGATGTTGCTGACTAATTGCTGATGACTTTGACTTAGCTGAGTAATTGTTGATGACTATTTCCCTTTACTGACTAACTGCTGATGACTATTTGACTTTGCTGACTAATTGTTGATGACTTTGCTGACTAATTGTTGATGACTATTTGACTTAGCTGACTAATTGTTGACTGACTTTGCTGACTAATTGTTGATGACTATTTCACTTTGCTGACTAATTGCTGATGACTATTTGACTTAGCTGACTAGTTGTTGATGACTCACTTTGCTGACTAATTGTTGATGATTATTTCACTTTGCTGACTAATTGTTGATTATTTCACTTTGCTGACTAATTGTTGATGATTATTTCACTTTGCTGACTAACTGTTGATTATTTCACTTTGCTGACTAATTGTTGATTATTTCACTTTGCTGACTAATTGTTGATGATTATTTCACTTTGCTGACTAATTGTTGACTATTTCACTTTGCTGACTAATTGTTGACTATTTGACTTAGCTGACTAATTGTTGATTATTTCACTTTGCTGACTAATTGTTGATGACTATTTCACTTTGCTGACTAATTGTTGACTATTTCACTTTGCTGACTAATTGTTGACTATTTCACTTTGCTGACTAATTGTTGATGACTATTTCACTTTGCTGACTAATTGTTGATTGTTGATGACTATATGACTTTGCTGACTAATTGTTGATGACACATGATTTTTGTTGACTAATTGTTGATGACTGACTTTGTTGATTAAGAGACCATGACTAATTGACTTTGTTGATAAATTACTGAAGACTATTCGACTTTGTTCACTAACCTTTGTTGACTAATAGCTTGGAGAATTTTCTTTCTGCTAACCTGACAAAGCAGTTAACAAGACTGCGATGAGGCCATTTGCTGTCATCCACTGATGACCTAATGAACTCACCATGATGCACGACTCCTCTCAGCCCATGGATTATAGGATCCACTGCAGGATTGTCCTTCTGCCCAACCTGAAAGAGAGACAGAGAGAGAGAGAATGAGGAGATGTTCTGTGAAAATAAGGAAATGGCACTTCCATTCCGTCGTCATATTATGTTTTTAGATTAAGAGTGTGTGTGTGTGTGTCTGTGTGCGTGTGATAGCAAAGGAGACACCAATTTTTTATAGAAGAAGAGAAAGGATGTCAGTGCTGCCAAGAAATACACAACAGGAGAATGAGAGAAAATGAGAAAGAGAGAGAGAGAGAGAGAGAGAGAGAGAGAGAGAGAACAAATAGAGCTGATTGCGTTCGGCCTGCCTGATGTGACTGAGTGACGTCAATGGATGGAGCTGATGTCATAACATCTAAATGAGAAGATTTTCTTCCTTTTTCTTTCTGTCTTTCAGGCACTGCTGTTCAGCCAGCATCCACGCACAGGACTGTGTTTATAAAATGTCAGCATACCGAGTCATTCCCTCTATGTCCCATATGTAATTAATGTAACAATAATACGTCTCATGTGTATAATATACATGTAAATAGCTATATTTAATAAAAATGTCCCATATGTATATTATTATGTAATAATATTATATCTTTTATGCATAATAAATTTGTAAGTACCCATATGTACTACTACTACTACTAATGATAATAATAATGATAACGCTGTGCAAACCTCACCCTCATGAACTGACCCTCCCAATGATGCTGCTGCTGCTGCTTAAACTAAACTAATCAATTTAACCATTGCTCCACCTGTTTTCCCCGTTGTGTACTACAATACCTTATACTAACAATGTTTTGCTATCCAGTGTCAACCAGAGGAGGATGGTTTCCCCTTCTGAGTCTTGGTTCCTATCAAGATTTCTTGCTCTTAAGGAGTTTTTCATTGCCACTGTCGCTTCTGGCTTGCTCATGGGGGCTTGGACCCGGATTTCTTTCTTTAATGCTGATTTTTCTGTAAAGCTGCTTTGTGACAACACCTGTTGTAAAAAGCGCTATATAAATAAACTTTGCTTGCTTGCTTGCTAACAACAACAACAACAACAACAACAACCACAACAATAATAATAATAATAATAATAATAATAATAATAATAATTATTATTATTATTATACATTATATATATATATAATAAATATGTAATGATCTAAACGTAATAATAATGATATGTCTGATAGGTATAATACCTCAGGAGCAAATTCTCATGCCCGAATCATCCTCTTACTATTATTTGTGTGAGTATCTACTTTTTATGTCATTTTTGTTATGTTTTTACTGAGAACAGTCAGTATCGGCTCAGGAAGGCCTGCTGGTGAACCACGTTAGAGCTGCTGACACACACACACACACACACACACACACACACACACACACACTTTTCCATTAGATTTTATTATTGAGTTTTAATGTTAGAGCATCAGCTCTGTAATTACCATCACTCAGTGATCAGTTACTTCAGCAACACTGTCTAAAACAGCATCACGTGAATAAAGAAACCACTGAAGTGAAAACTGAATTGATAAGTTAATTGAGCGAGAGAGAGAGAGAGAGACAGAGAGTGAAGAGAAACGGGGAGAGAGAGACAGAGAGAGAAAAAACAGGCAGAGAGAGAGAAAATGGGGAGAAAGAGAAAGGAGAGAGAGATGAAACAGGATGGACAGACAGAGAGGCAGTGAAAGAGAGAGACAGAAAAGGACAAAAAACAGACAGGCAGAGAGAGAGAGAGAGAACAGAATGAGAAGTAGAAAGAAAGCGAGATTGAAAGAATGACTAAGACAGCAAGATGGAGAGATAAATAGATGAAGAGAAATAGAAAGAGCAAGAAAGTGACAAAAAGTGACAGAGACAGGAAGAATGAGAGAGAGAAAGAGAAAGGGAGAATGAAAGCGAGAAAGAATTGAGAGAAACAGAGAGAACAGAGAGAGAGAGAAGGAGAAAGAAAGTGAGAAAGAAAAGGAGAGAAACAGAGAAACAGAGACAGACAGAGAGAGAAACACAGAGAGAGAGAGAAACAGAGAGAGAGAGTGTGAGAGAGAGTGAGAGAGAGAATGAGAGAAACAGAGAGAGAGTGTGAGAGAGTGAGAGACAGAGAGAGAGAAACAGAGAGAGAGAGAGAGAGTGAGTGAGAGAGGCTGCGTGTCTTTAACAGTAATACACATGTGTCTGAAATGACAGACTGAAATAACTGTAATTACTGCAACTTGATCTTCAGATGAAAACCTGAGCGTGAAGAAAGGGCAGCGTAGTAAGATAGAAAGAAAACATGTGCCGATCAGTGGGGAAAAAAATAAACAAACAAAAAATAAATAAATAAATGTGTGAACAAACCAGAGGTGAGTGCTTTTAAAGATCTCCCCGTAGACCGGAGACAGGAGACAGGATTTGACAGAGAGGACCCACGGGTCAACACTACTGCTGAGGAGGTGTGTGTGTGTGTGTGTATGTGTCTGTGTGTCTATGCGTGTGTATCTGTTTAGTTCCGGAGAGGAAGCCAGAAGCGTTGGAGGCAGATCTAACTGCTGCTCCCAGGAGGAACCAGTGGAAAAGGTTTCACACACGTCCACTGGCCTGCTGCCATCTCTCTCTCTGTCTCTCTATGCATCTTTCCTTCTTTCTTCCTCTTCCTCTCACACACTCCCTCTCTCTCTCTTTCTGCACTAAAATCTCCTTCAGCCTGGTCGCTCCTGCTGCCACGGACAGAAAATTCCAGAAGGGTCTTGATTTTTGCATATCTTCTTCAAAACACCTTCAAAGGCTTCTGCATGTAACATGATATCCATATTTTTCCTATCAAAATGCTTCGTTGTTGTTGTTCCAAAACCGCTGCAGAAACTTCAGCGGCTGTAAACGTTTCGCACAAAATTTCACACATTTCTCCGATGCTGAATGGATGTCTTTAGTTAGTGTTAATCTTTAGTGATTTCCTGAGTGTCCATTGGTCAGCTTCACACAAAATTCAGACGGACACACAAATTCACCAATTACACACAGTGAGAGGCAGATGTTTCTCTTCATAGCCTCATACCTCCAGATGTTTCAAGAGTGCATTAATTTAGTTTTGTTTTTATTTTCTGAGAATAGTTTTAGTTTAGTTTTTATTTATTTTTAGTTTCAGTGCTGTGACTGTAGGTATTTGATGAGGGTAGAATAAAACTAACACAATAGTAGACCGAGCCTATTCAGCCTGCAGCACTTTTGCCCCACCCATTCACAGTGAAGTTATAAGGAGTGTTTCAGCCTGGACTTCTTTCTAAATGAGGCACACTACAGGACAGCCAAATCAGAACAGAGATCAGTCTTAAAGGCACAGTAAAAAAAAAAAACCCTGTCTAATTTAAGACATAAAGAGAGGTTGGAAAACAGTCATGCAAAAATTAATTACAACTGTTTTTGACACATTAATAGCCCTCAAGGAAGAAGACAAAATACGAGAAAAATACAGAATATGTGTCACACATCCCTCCAGCCCGGACTCTATGGTGGACTCCCCAGAACTTTCCCAGAACTCTCTGGGTGAACACGTGACTGTGACGTCAGACCAGCCCATGTATCAGAAATCTGCCTCACCTGATTACTGACTTGTCACACCTGTTTCTTTGTTTTTGACTTTGTCTTTTTTCCTGCTCCCTGTTTGGATTTTGTCTGCCTGATTATATTTGTGTTCCGTTTTTCTACCTGTGTATTTTGCCGCTTCTGGATCCGACCTTTGTCTGTTTTTGACGATGACTCTGGAAAATGAACCAACTAGTAAAGTCTTTGTTACTTTTATCTGCACGTCTGACTCATTCTGTCACGTTACAATTTGGGTCCTAAAAAATGCAACTGGTTTAAATAAGAGAAAGGAGGAAAGAGTGAGAGAAGGAAAAAACAGACAAAAAGAACAGGAGAGGGGCATGAGAGCAACAAAGAAAGAGGAAGAGAAGGAGAGAGATGAGGAAGAACAAGTGTACAGCCTTTTGCTGGCCAAATGCATTCTCCGCAATGCGTAACCTTAATTGCCGCTGAGTAGGTCAAGATGCACATTATACAACAAACAAGCTCATCTCTCTGATGTCAAAGCTCATCTTACGTGATATGAAAGCTCCTCTTGCTGATGTCAGAGGCCATCTGCTGCCCACGAACACCTGGATTTCTTCTCACAGGCTAAAATAAATGAACTTTTTTCCCAATTTCTTTTCCTTTTTTTAATCCCCTACTTCAAGGCTTTTTGCTTCATCGCACGGATCCGAACAACACAAATAGTCACTAAAGAGCATGAAATATTACAGAAGGGAGAAAACAAACAAGGCTCATTTGTTGCATTGTGCATAAACAGAGATAGTAACCTTGGTGAAATGCACCAAGAGCACAAAATATCTGGATTTTCAGAGCTGTTCTCATAAAGCCACTACATTTCTAAAGCGAGCGTGCTGACAAACCGCAGTGCAGCTCAGAGGCTTTAAGAGAAGTTCCACTTCATTAAGAATAATAACTTCATGTCAATGCCAATCAGACAAAAATGTAAAAAAAAAAAAATCCAACACAATCCACAGCTGCTTTGGAAGGATCGATCGAGTACAGATCTGAAACAGAAGATTTCTGTCATAAATACGCAAGCAGATCGGCTGACGAACGAGAGGAGCAAAATACATGAGCTGCATTTGATTTCACGAATGTTTCATCATATGCAGACTATGCAGGCAAAACATACTACACTGTAGGACAACAACTGCACTACCTTAAATTTTTTGGTTGACTTAACTGTTAAATGTTAATCTGTTAAATTTACTATTATCATACTATTATACTACTATCATCATTAATATTGCAGCAAATTTTTGTGGCATGTGTCCGTCCCCTAGGCCCGATGAAGGAACTGGCAGGAAGGCAGAGTCCGAGCTCCGAGCCCAGACGAAACCCCGCAAGACAGTGGGGAGAGGACGAAATCTACGAGAGAGTAGGGGATGGCGTGCGAGTCCCAAGCCTCGCCTCCTGGGCACCACCTCCAGTCCCGCGGCAAGGCCGCTTTAACTTGCCTCATGTTTGATCCTGGTGGCCTAGCCAGAGAGCGGGGGCGGTGTCAGAAGCAGAGCAACGAGCTCTCTGCCCCTGTCGGCCCAAGGCACCTTTAAAAAGAGCAGAAACGGGGTTTCGTCTGGGCTCAGAGTTCAGGCCCCGCCTTCCTGCCTGCTCTTGTGGCCGTCACTGGGGCCCAGGGGACGGGCACATACCCCAATTTTATATGTGGCTCTACAGGTACCAACTTATTCAATCTCAGAAAAACTTAATATCACGATACATATTGTGTAAAAAAAAATGTCATGAAGTATCATGATATAATATTTTCTGCCATTTCGCCCACGCCTAGTTTCTGTTATTCTCACCATGATGGTGTTTTGTGTTCAGGTTTAGCAGTTCAGCCTATGGTCACAAACTCATCAGGTGATGAATTCAAGGCCCCAAGCAGTTTCTAAACATACTGGCAAAGATGCCTGGAGCCACTCGAGTCCTCAGAAATGGGAGACTCTTGTGCTGTCCATTACTTTATTACTGTATAAAGAAACAGTTCAGTTCTATATGATCCACATGATGTGCAGCCATTTTTTCATTACTGTGCAAAACAACCCATTTAAATGAATGATGGTGTTGTTTCACAGTTGATTCCAATGCGTTACACCCAGATGAATATTTGCAGCAAAGCGCAACTAAATGAGAGGTTAACCTAACTAATTTGAGAGCAAACAGAACTTGAAAAAGTACTGCCAGCTCAGCTGAAACTATTTAATGTCAAACCTGTTCAGTAACTTAATTTGTTTCAAGGCAATGAATTTGTATGATTTTTTATGTAGAGTCAACTAATTTAAGCTTACAGTGCGGTTACTAAAATGTCATACCATTATTAGGCATGACTCATGCATAAATAGCCATTTGTCTCTTATTATAACGTAGCTCTTCATTTGATTTATATAATTTAACAGATTTTTTTTCATTTTCCAAACATAAAATGACAGTTTTGCTCATTAAAGAGCAAATAATGTTATTCATATTGTGACACTGGCTAATAGAAAGGACTGGAAGGGTGCTGATGCATCTGTCCCACACAGTCTGAGCTCAGGATAAAAAGAGCAAAGGCAAAGGCAAAGAAATCAGAATCGGCTATAAAATTAAAAAAATAATCGCACCACACCATTTAAAAGACCACAATCTTGTTTTCTGTCCAGGCTGAAACACTCCTTATAACTTCCACATGAATGGGTGGGACTAAACTACCGTAGACAGGAAAAAAAAATCAAAATTGGCTATTTTTGCAGCTTAGTTCCCATATATGGAAACGGACTGGGGAGTGAATGGTGCATTTTGAAATGTTCAGTGTTTACATGCTACAGCAAAGGCTTTTATTTCAAAAATATTTCTGGGTTTCCAAGATACGGACCCTTTAAGTGCAAATGAGTCTAGTATGAGAGTCGCAGGGCATAAGGCTAGTAAATAAATGAATAAAAGCTTAGCGGCTGAAGTTGCATCAGCTATCCATTTCCATCAGAGGCGGACAGATGAGGAGGCGGGACTGTAAACAAAGACAGCTAATGCATTCCTGCTGAACAATCAGAGATATTAGATAATCAATGACAAATGCAAAAGGGAGAGTCATAGAGCCAGATGGATTGAGGCAATGACAAACACAACATGAACTACATGCACGAGAGCACGAGAGGAGAGGATCGCGATGGAAACACGTAAACAACGAAACCGCGCAGAGAAAGATGCTGGCTAACTTTTACAACATCACAAAGCGAGTTCATTGTGCTGGAATGCCTGTAGTCTTTTCACATATCGATCGTATCATTCTCTGTTGTGTTCTCAAGTCGGGATGTCAAAAGCCGAACAAATCCACCGCTAACGTTCTCAACGCTGAACAAATCGACTGGTGACGTGCAGTAAGGAAAAGAAAGAGAGCGAAAGAAGAGAAAGCTGTAGAGAGCGCGCATCTGTCTGTGTGTGCGTCTGGGGAGCTGATCCGAGTCATAGGTGGTCCATCCTTCCTTCGCTCACTACCATCACTATTCCACATGCTTCTACAGCACCGGGCCCCGGACTGAAAAACACAGAAATTTCTCTATTGATCCGGCAAGATTTCTCTCCAATACACACACACTGCAGACAGACTTAGCACTTCGGCTCGACACTCTAAAGCCCCCCAAACTTCCAAGTACCTCAACTCCCAGAATGCTCTGTTCTCCCAAACAAAAACAAAACAAGTTTCGTCAGACTAGCGCCAACTCTCTCCGGAGCGACTGCAAACTTCTTGCAAAGAGTGGCGCCGTCGCAACACCCTGCAAAATCTTTTAGCACCTCACTTCTCTGAAATGCTAACTCCACAGCAGAAGGAGAAACATTCTTAGCTTCAGTGTAACAAGATTTTATTACAAGTATTTTTGGATCAATTCTGTTGATCCATTTGTCCTGATATGTTCAGGTAATGTAAAGGACAGCAGGCATTTTCTAAAAGTCTAGATCAGGGGTGCACAAACTTTTTCCCCAGAGGCGTGGTGTGTAACTTTTGCAGAGGGCCGAGGGTCCAGACAAAACAGCCTGCTAATATCCTAGTAGATTTATATTTTCACACAATGCCAATATATGTGTATCTACATGTTCTTTAAATGCTCCAGTGGTTTCCTTACACACAGTCGTATGCAAACGTTTGGGCGCCCCTGGTCAAAAGATAAGGTTTGGTCACTTTCTTAGTGAAAGTGAGTTAAATCCTCTACAGGGAAGTTTAATATGGCTTCAAATTTTTCTGCAAATGTTAGAGCATAATTTCTATTTATTTGTTGAGAGGAAAAACCGCTGAGGGACAAAAACATGAAATGTAAATGTGCCATAACTTTTGCACAGATTACATTATAGTTATTTTTTCCAAAATGTTAAATTCAGCAAATAAACAGTAAATGTGCAGACGTCTCTTCACTCAGACTTTTGCACATAATTTCACCTCACTCTCTCCTGTCTCACTCTCTCTCTCTCTCTCCTCATCTCTTTGTCTCTCTCTTTCCCTCTATCCGTCTCTGCTTTTCTCTATGTCTCTCTCCCTTCGTCTCTGTCTTTCCCTTTCTGTCTCTCCTTTTCTATGTCTCTCTCCCTTCATCTTTCTATGTCTCTCTCTTTCTCTGTGTCTCTCGCAGTCTCTATGTCTCTCATTCTGTGTCTCCTTATCTCTATCTCTATCTCTCTGTCTCTCTTTCTCTCATCATCTCTCTATGTCTCTCCCTTTCTGTCTCTCTCTCCCTCTGTCTGTCTTTCCTTTTCTCTATGTCGCTCTCCCTTTACCTCTCTCCATCTGTCTCTCTCTGTCTCCCTCTTTGTCTTTCTAAGCCCCTCTCTCTGTCTTTCCATGCCCTCTCTGTGTCTCTGTCTTTGTCTCTCTCTTTTTCTCTTCAACTGTCTCTCTTTGTCTATCTGTCTTTCCTTCTTTCTCTTTGACTGTCTCTTTTTGTCTCTCTGTCTCTCACTGTCTATCCGTCTCTCCCTCTGTCCTCTCTCTGACTGTCTTTTTTTGTTTGTCTCTATGTCTGTCTAGCTCTCTATCTCTCTGTTTGCCTCTTTGACTGTCTCTCTCTCTCTCCATCTCTCTCTCTCTGGGTTCATAGTTAAACCTTTCTTATTTATTGCTTACAGACAGACACTAATGGTACTTTTGAATACCAGCTCTTTAGTGTAGTACAGCCTGGCTGTGTTGACAATGTTAAAAGTTGAACATGCACACACGCACACACACACACAATGCACGCACACACACACACAATGCACACACACACACACACACACAATGCACGCACACGCACACACAATGCACACATGCACACACACACACAATGCACGCACACACACACAATGCACACACGCACACACACAATGCACGCACACACACACACAATGCACACACGCACACACACACACAATGCACGCACACACACACAATGCACACACACAATGCACGCACACAGACACACACATGCACGCACACAGACACACATGCACACACACAGACACACACACAATGCACGCACACACACACAATGCACACACGCACACACAATGCACACACGCACACACACACACAATGCACGCACACAGACACACACATGCACACACACAGACACACATGCACACACACAGACACACACATGCACGCACACAGACACACATGCACACACACAGACACACATGCACACACACAGACACACATGCACACACACAGACACACACATGCACGCACACAGACACACATGCACACACACAGACACACACATGCACGCACACAGACACACACATGCACGCACACTGACACACACATGCACGCACACTGACACACACACTCATGCTGTGAGGATGTTTTTGAAGTGTGAGGGTTTATTATTACTCTGTGTAGTAGAGTAGCTCTAAGAGAAGCTCTTAGAGTGTCTACTTTGATTACAGTCAGAAGGACAAAGAGACAAAGACAGAGTGAGTGTGTGTGTGTTTATCAGAGCTTGTGGGGAGGTTAATGACACAAACAGTGACACCTAATGAAGTTTTGATCCTGCCTGTGCACAATGACAAAACCTATCTATCACCTCGCCCCCCCACCACACCCCACCCCCACCACACCCCCACATCCCACCCCCCACCCCGCCAAACACACACAAACACAAATCAAAGGGTGAAAAAATATCAAAGCATGCGTGAGAGAAAAGCTCTCACCTGAAAGAAGACGGCCATGGCAGCGATTACTCGCTTCTCCCTGATGGCTGCGTTAAGGCTGTCAAAATCATCTGAGTTATACATGTAGATCTGCATCTGTGAGAGACAGAGAGGGAGAGAGAGAGTCATGTTAGTACTACATTACATTTCTTTTTTAATGAAAAGAAAGGGAAACTCCACTGATTTCTCAAAATTGCATAAATAAATTGCAATGCATAATTAAGCTGTTTTAATGTAAAC